CTACTGTGAAGCGGCGCAGTGGCTCAGCAGTTAAGACACTGAGCTTGTCAACTGGAAAGCCAGCAGCTTAGGTTTGAGACCTGAGTGCCATAGGATGGCGTGAGCTCCAATCCTTGCCCCAGTTCCTGCCAACCTAGCAATAATGTAGCAGTAAAGCATGCAAATGCAAGTAGATAAATAGGTACCACTTCAGTGGGAAGGTAACAGCTCTCCATGATATCATGCTGGCCACATGACTGCAGAAATATCTTCAGACAGCACTGGCTCAATGGCCTTGAAATGAAGATGAGCCCCACCCCTTATAGAAAACAATGACTAGCAGAGTAAAATCCGCAAGGGACAATATGTCTACTATGGCAACTATTTTGTGACTAAGCAAACTGTCCCCAGCAGGGTATCCACAACTTCTCAAAATTCAGATATGTTCACCAGTTCAAAGAATTGGGGACTCTTCTCCATCATCATCTTCATCAGCTCTTCTATATACTGTAATAGCTTCAAAGTAGAGCCTAGTTCATTATAATGCTTTATCTTGCTGTATCTAGGACACGTTTCATGAAATTCCATATGGAAAGAATCACTTGACTGTGCACTGGATTTTGAGGTGTAAGACTTAATATGTTCAAAATCATTAACTTATTACAGTTAATAATCCTCGACTTATGATTGGTTGTTTATTGACCAAAGTTATAATGGATCTCCCAAGAGATACTTATGCCCCAGTTTCAATGTTCCATCTGCAGCCCCCAAATGGGTCTTGTGATTACATTTGAGATTGTTTGCAGCATCCCATGGTCATGTGACTGCAACATTTAGCATTTTTTGCCAAAAACCAGTCTTTACTTCTGACTGCTGGCAAAAAATGCCCCTTCGGTATAATGGGTTTGTTTTATCTACTGTAATGTTTAATAACCACTGCAAAAAAGGTTGCAAAATCAGGCGGAGTTATGTGGTAACCTTTTATCGACTTATGACTGTAATTCTGGGCTCAATTATGGTCGTAAATTGAAGACCAGCTGTAAAAGGAAAAGTGCTGGATGGGTAAGGAAACTAAGGAAGCTGGGAAACCCAGGCAGAGAAAAAAGTTTCCTGTAGAAATGTATGGCACTAAATTCATGGCAAACAGATGGGGAAGAAATGGAGGTAGTGACAGATTTTATTTTCCTGGGCTCCAAGATCCCTGCAGATGGGGATTGCAGCCAAGAAATTAAAAGACGCTTGCTCCTGGGGAGGAAAGCTATGGCAAATTTAGACAGCATTCTAAAAAGCAGAGACATCACCCTGCCAACAAAAGTGCATATAGTCAAGGCTATGGTTTTCCCAGTTGCAATGTATGGCTGTGAAAGTTGAACCATAAGAAAGGCTGAGCGCCAGAGAATTGAGGCCTTTGAACTATGGTGCTGGAGAAGATTCCTGCGAGTCCTTTGGACTGCAAGGTGATCAAACCAGTCAGTCCTAAAGGAGATCAATCCTGACTGCTCTTTAGAAGGCCAGATCCTGAAGACGAAACTCAGATACTTTGGCCACATAATGAGAAGGAAGGACTCACTGGAGAAGAGCCTAATGCTGGGAAAGATAGAGGGCAAAAGAAGAAGGGGACGATAGAGAATGAGGTGGCTGGATTGAGTCACTGAAGCAGTAGGTGTGAGCCAGGGGTGGGTTCTAAATTTTTTAATTACTAGTTCTGTGGGCGTGGCTTATTTTGTGGGCGTGGTTTGATGGTCATGTGACAATTCTTTAGGATTTAGCAAAGGTACTGGTCTACCAGGCTTTTAACTGCTTGCAGAGTTGTACCAGTCTACCCATTTGTCCTTGGAGCGTTCCGATCTACCCATTTGTCCTTGGAGCGTTCTGGTCTACCCATTTGTTTTTGGAGGCACCGGTCTACCCATTTTGGAGGCACCGGTCTACCCATTTGTTTTTGGAGGCACCGGTCTACTCATTTGTTTTTGGAGGCACCAGTCTACCCATTTGTTTTTGGAGGCACCAGTCTACTCATTTAATGTTTTTGGAGGCACCGGTCTACCACCACACTGCCTTTTAACACTGATCAGCTGTAGGGTGGCCCTTTGAAGCCCCGCGACAAGAGTTTAAACAGTTTTTTTCCTTCTAGCCTATCAGCTGGGACTCGGGAGGCAGCAAATAGATTGGGGGCAGGGCCAAATAAAAGGTAAGAATAACGTGGGGAGGGGGAGGGCCCAGCTCCCGAACAAAGCGAACCGGTTCGATGACATCATATCATCACCGCTACCGGCTCGGCCGAACCGGGAGGAACCCACCACTGGTATGAGTTTAAATGGACTCCAGAGGATGGTAGAGGACAAGAAGGCCTGGAGGAACATTGTCCATGGGGTTGGGATGGATCAGACATGACTTCACAACTAACAAGAAAAATTCATGGCACCAGAAAACCCAAATACAAACAAGGATGTCCCAGGAAAGGAGTGATAACTACAATATAATCTAAGGATAGAGGTGTGTTCTGGTCAGAGATTTGGCAGATATGTGATTTCTGAATCAGATGTCTGATTTTACTGTCTTTCACTTCCGCCTTTTCCTGTGCTAGAGAGATTGCTGTTCTTTGAATCCTTACCTAAACTTTTAAGCTCCAACACCAATAATATCTTTCTGATACTTTAACAGGTGAAAGGATCAAGTGAGAAAACAAAGTATTTTAAGGCTTAATGAAAACAGAAAACAAAAGAGAATTGGGTGCACACCATTTCACATCATGAAGTGCAAATGCTCCAGAGAGGCTGTTTCTTCAGATATATTAATCTTTTAATTTTAGCTGGGATAAATGAGGCAACTAAGTAAAATATAGAATGGTCCTTGTCTTTAGTGTCCGTTCATTTAACAACTGTGTTGTTAATGTCAGAGATCTAGCTCAGTATGTAAAGCATAGGCTGGATTCTCACATTGTACTATATAAGTTGTTAATGATAGTTCATTGAATAAGCTACAATGGCTAGGATCACACATTATGCTAAGTCATAAACCATGGGTTGCAAACTACAAACTGAACCAAACACCTACTTATGATTGAATCCTGTCACATAGATTCTGATCTTTCAAAAAATACGAGAAAAAAATATGAATAACCCAAGATGACCTACTGCGTTTATGACTGAGTAAAGACTCAAATTGGGAACTCTTTCAGTTTTGGTCCCAAACACTAAGTTATACCACCTCTGCTAGGATAAAGTAGCAATAGCAATAGCACTTAGACTTATATACCGCTTCACAGTGTTTTACAGCCCTAAGTGGTTTATAAAGTCAGCATATCGCTCCCAACAACCTGGGCTCCTCAATGTAGTTCTACAGGCTATCAAAGATATTTTCCATCAACTCCCCTGATTCTTAATTTTCAGGATTTTTTTTAAAAAATTTGAATTAGTTTAATATTGATTTGAATTATGACAGATTATAATTGTTTTATTTTGTAATGTTAGTCAGTTTAAGTGCTAATAATAGGCAGGATAGGATGTGAATAATATTAGCAATTATAATAATAAATAGAAGATTCCTGTAATTGAGGCTGATGTTTCTTTTATCAAAAACACATTCTTTGACACTGAACTATATTTTATCAGTCCTTGTTATCTCTTCGCATATTGTTCTCCTTGTTCCATGGTACAAAAAATGGCTATTTTTTTCCATACAGAAACATCAGGAAAACAATCCTGGGGTTATTCTAGAATAAAAACAAAACAACAGTGATATCTAGAAAAGGCTGGCATATAAAAGACATTGATAGACCCAATTGGGCCATCTTTCTGTCCTAAAGCTTATAATGTCAACCCTAATAGAAACTTGGATAGGGTTACCAAAACCAGCAGTCACAATCCAAACAACCATATTCTAGCAGAGATGCAGAACTCCTCGGTGCCATCTAGTGGTCATCTGGATTTTTTTTACTCTAGTGTGTAATTTCCCCCCTCCCCCCAAGAATTTCCCCCTCCCCCACTTAAATACTAGTCATCATGTTATATACAATTTGTATGGAAGTTTGTCAAATTTCAGAAATGATGTACTATGTTGGTAAGTGATAAAATTATCATATCAAAAAGGGTTGGAGAAATATTATCGAAGAGAGTTAGGGAAGTATGATATCCTACGACACTAGATTTAACTCGTGGTTTTAGATCAGAAAAGAAAAAAATGTAAGTTCATTTTGTTTTACCTAAAATTTATTTGGGTGCAATGGTTGTACTATAATACCGTTATGTTATACTTAAAATGAAAAGATGTACATATCATTCTTTGGAGTTCTTCCAAGTATTGTGGTGTCAAAATTACATGGAAGTTTTGGCAGAAGAGCAGTTAAATCTGAAGTCTGTTTTGCTTGCAATAGTAGTAAGTGGAAATGAGAGGTGTAACAGGAATACAGCTTTTTTTAAAGGGACGGTGAATTTTTGTCCGTTCCAGGCAGGAGGTAACATTCAAGGGAACCGGACAGGGGTGAAATCCAGCAGGTTCTGGAAAACCAGTAGTGGAAATTTTGAGTAGTTCGGAGAACCGGCAAATACTACCTCTGGCTGGCCCCCGAGTGGGGAGGGAATGGGGATTTTGCAGTACCCTTCCCCTGCCATGTCCACCAAGCCAAACCATGCCCACCAAGCCACGCCCACAGAACCAGTAGTCAAAAAATTTGGATTTCACCACTGGAACCGGAACATTATTGATATGAGACAAAATATCCAAATCCAACAGTATTAGGGTTGAAATATGCCTGATGTGGCAAAGGAAATAGGAACTTATAGCTCTCCCTGATGATACGGGGAGACCTGCACCTTAGTAGAGCCTTTGAGATGGGTCTTTAGTCTAGATAGGTTTGTTATACCAATGAGTTATTTTTTCTCTCATATTTGGAATGGGGGGGAGGGAAAGGGAATCTTCTGCTACCTTTAGTTGTTTTCATTAGAAAACAAGGGTGTAAAATATAAATAAATATAAGGCAACCCCCTCCTCACTTATTATTGAGCAGTTAATACATAAAATGCAGTTTCAAAACAATCTTTATTCATGTTGAAGACCTAGTACAATTTTTAAAGCAACTTATGAACAGGACACAGCTCCATCAATTTCAGAAAGCCAAGAACATTTTTTAAGGAGGCGCATTTGTTAATATTGCCTTTTAAAGACAACGTGCAACATCCATTTAGCCTCTGCCTCCCTAAAAAAAAATAGAAATGTTTTTAATGTTTTAAAGACATTTAACAAAATAGAGCTTATTTTTTAAGGGGGAGAAACTAAGAACAAAAATAGCAGCATTTTGGGCAGCTAATGCAGTCTCATAGGGACAAATGGCACTATAGCTCTTCCCTAATTTTGTATGTGACCTGTTTTCATCAGTTTTTACTAAAATTGTTTTGTACAAAAAGTAAAAATATTATATTTTGAGCCATGTCCCATGGGAGGCATTGTGCTTGGAATTGCCCATTTCAAAAGCAATCCTGAATAAAAGTCACAACTGGAATTGCTTTCTCAAATGAATACCATGCATAGCAAAAGCACTGTGTTAAATCTAACTGATGTTCTCCCCAGTGGAAAACATCACAATGATATTTTCCCCCAAGCATCATAGCTCATTGTTAACTACAAGACAAAGCAACTTTTTTTACATAACAGCTGACACTGAAACATAAGATTTGGCTTTACACATTAATAAAACAAATTCTAGAAACATGATCTTTTCCAAGCTCCATATACCTTTCAAATAAGATAAGGTCAAGTCTCCAATGAAACCAGCGTGACTCTTGGTGATTTTCTGGAAACAATCATATATAACTTTCTTGACAATAATTTGGACATTTACCAAATTAATTTGCCACTGGAATTTTTTCTTTTATTACCCAGTCTAGCCTGCATACATCCATATATCATCAATCTTTTTTTTTATTAGTGAAGCTTTAGTTTGAAGAGATATCAATTTGCATGTTTCTTTTCAATAAAAGTTAAAATATGCTGACTTTAATACGAGAATTGCATGTACAGCAAACTTTCTCTTTATTCAAGTATCACTTATAAAACAAAATTTTAATTTTCTGAATTGAATTAAAATTTCCAATGATTTTTATTTCATTTAACATGAAAAATAAGATTACAGAATTCTTAAGAGTAATTGTTAACACCAATAATAACAACTAAGCCTTGAAAGACCCTGTCAATGTTAATTCCTTCCAGGCTATTTAGAGACTTGGGAAATTTGGAGAAAAGTTTCACCACGCATTTAGATTCACTGAAAACTGCAATCAGAACATGGCCCAGTTATACACACTCTCTCTTTCACAAACACATATACAAAAGTACATCAAAACCACAAAACTAAGCCTCAAGTTACAGAATCCATAACTTGTTTTGTCTGAAGTAGCTGTATGCATTTGTGGTATAAACATGGTAGTTCATATTTCAGAAGCCCTGTTATTTTATTGTTGTAGCTCAGAAGTTTTGGGTTTGTCTCTCTGCATTCTAGAGAGGGACAGGCACACACACAATGATTTTGTGTATGCACCAAATGTTGGATTGGTAACCATATATTAACTGTGCATGCAGTTCTCAAGGCTTGATCACTATATTCAGCCTAGCTCCTGAGAGGCTGCTTGTATGCTTCTCAGTAGAAGAATACCAACAATGCACAATACTAAATGGTAAATGAAACACTGCTGATCAGTTGGCTTTTGTTTTAACGTGGGAGGACAGAAACTAGGCCCCATGTATTCCCCATCAAAGGGACCTAGAGGTAATCAGAACTGATAAAGCCAATTAGATGATGACAAATCAGGTATAGGACCTGCTGATGCACATCAATCTCTCTGTCTCTCTCTCACACAAAGTGCATGTTAGTACTTGCTATTCAGTGACTGGTCATAATTTGCCCTTCAAGAATAATCAAGAGCAAAATGCAGATTTCTTCCTCTTGAAAAATCTAATGGGACGAATAAACAAACTGATTAAAAATTGGCATACATTTGGCTTAATCTTTGCTCTGTGAAATAAAATGCAATTTCCAGTCAACTTCCTTTGGAGTAGATTTTGGGAGTAATTCCACTGATTTTAGTGAGACGAAACACCAGGAGATAACTGCTTTACAGCCCACAAACAAAACTCTACTGGGCTCTCCAGTGCTTGTAAAAACCCCTTTGGCTTTTAAATATGTCTCAAGTCTGCATATTTCTCAAGAAAGCAAAGTTAAGTTCTAAACAAATGTTTCCAATATAAAATATATGGGTAAATAAAAATAAGAGGGCTAAAGTTAATTTATTCACAGTGTTACCAAACAATAAAAATACATCTAGAATAGTCTTCAGTGCCTCTTTAGAAGCACAGATTGCCTATGGGGTTGAAACCATAAGGAGATCTGCTATAAGATCTGCTTTCTTTTTGCTCATTCACTATATAAAAGACTTCCAGAGTTCCTTAACATTAATCTGTGAAACTATGATTTTATTATGTTGGTCAAGAAATGTAGAATTTGGTTAAGTACTGTAACACTGAGGTTTATATTTCTTTCATTAACTTAATTACATGGATACCTGATATATTTGTTTTTTAGAGTGGCTTTTTAATTTTTTCCCCTTCATTTAAAATGTTAAAATAACAGAAATTGATTTTGGAAGGTAAGTATCATAGAGCTTCCTAAATTTATTTTGATTCTGTTAGTCAGAACTAAGTATGAAATATAAAAGCCAAATGTATACCTAATAGTATATTTTTAAACAGTAGCTGAAAAACAATTCTTCCATGGGATGCAAAATGTATCTTGATGAAGTATCTAAAATGGTTGATCAAAATTACATATGACAAATAACTCTGAAGGATTAAATTTGGTACTTTAGTAGTCAATGTTTTTCACCTGCTTATCTGCAACATTCAAAGTAGAATTTCTTTCCAATAAAACACAATCAAGATAACAATCTAAAAACTAAATAAAATACAGTGGATACTATTATGTGAAGTTATTTTTAAAACAATATTGTTGGACTCAAGTGATATTTTTGCAATAGTCATTTATTTTTATTGAATAAAGCAGCTTTTAAGCTTATCAGGCACTGCCCAACAAAATATTTAGCTGAGAAATTAATCTTGAATTGTAACCTTGAGCTAGCAGCTCAATATGCTACAAAAAGGGGAAAAACCCTGTTAAAATAGTTCATAGTTTTAATTCTGAAGCCAACTTTTTCCAATATCCTGTACATTTATTTAAAAAAAAGGGGGCGGGAAAGAGGACAACATGAAAAGACACACACACAAAAAAATGAGCTATGAAAACATGTTGAGATGACATAAGAAAAAAAATAGAAACAGCTTATCCTTTAGTTACACATGAAACAAATACAGCCTATAGAAAATGAAATATTGCATAGCAGTGTAAGGATTCAGCTTCTTTTGGGAGGTGGGGGGTGGGGGTGGGGAGAAATCCAAACAAAAAAAATTGAAAAGAATGAATTGGTTCTGACAGTATCCATCTATGATAGTTAGTCATCCTGAACTATGTACATATTATATACTGCTTGTCATAAAGTCCAGTTCTCTTCAGTCTTAAATATCTTAAAACAAGATTTTAAATGTCTAAACAAAAACACTTCCTGGCACTTCTATTACCACGTTCATTTCTCCAACGAACACCCTGTCAGAGTCTTAAAGTGTCCCTTAAAATTGAAAGTGCCATTCTGCTACATATCATTCACCAGAAAATCAGCAATCCACAATGCCGCCAACTGCATCCACTGCACACTGAACACTGCATCCTCTACGTCATGACTGAGAAATTCTGCCGCCATTTACATGGCCCCCCGCTGCACGTTGGGGTCTTCAAAGTTCCAACTTTAGAGCTCGTAAAGCTTCAAAGGGATGGTCAACAAGCACCATGATTAAAGGCCACTATGTCCCTGCAGGGAGACAGGTGTAGCATTTCTCTTTCTTTCGCTGCGTTTTTACTTTTGCTTAGTTTTTTTTTTTTTAAAGCACTTTAGATTAGAAGTGTGTGTCCATAGCTCTCAACCGTGACCTCTCCCACTGCAGTTGTGAAGAAAGCTTCAGTTCCATCTGAAGGCTCTGACACCTTAGCTCCAACTCAAAAGCCTTCTTTACCCAGAAGCCTCAAGACTGCCGAATTAACTTTGTGGGTATTTAATAAAAAGAGATAACCCCAAAGGATTAACATCTTCATCGCCTTTGCTGTGCATATACTGGATAGGCTAATGTGACATTGAGAGAGTCATTGTGCTGCACTAATGAAGTATGCTGATAATGTAGCACCAGTTCTTTCAGCGTGTTGTACAAATTATATGGCTCTGCAAATCCATACCCAGTAGGTGTTTTGTTGATGACGCAATGCTTCACTTCACTGTCCACACTAAAAAGGAAAAAAAAAAAAAGGATTTTAAAAAAATGTTGCTAAAAGACATTTTCTTATATAACTTGTTCTTGATATAACATTACAGCAATATTCTTTGACCCATTACTGTAACCCTATAGAGCACTGCACACCAGAACTAGACACAAGAACAGTTTTTTCCCGAACGCCATCACTCTGCTAAACAAATAATTCCCTCAACACTGTCAAACTATTTACTAAGTCTGCACTACTATTAATCTTTTCATCGTTACTATCACCCATCTCCTCCCACTTATGACTATATGACTGTAACCTTGCTGCTTGTATCCTTATGATTTATATTGACTGTTTCCTAATATGATTCAATTGCTTATTTGTACCCTATGACTATGATTAAGTGTTGTACCTCGAGTCTTGACGAATATATCTTTTCTTTTATGTAAACTGAGAGCATATGCACCAAGACAAATTCCTTGTGTGCCCAATCACACTTGGCCAATAAAGATTTCTTTCTTTCTTTCTTTCTTTCTTTCTTTCTTTCTTTCTTTCTTTCTTTCTTTCTTTCTTTCTTTCTTTCTTTCTTTTTCTTTCTCTTTCTTTTTTCCTTTCTTTCTTTTTCTTTCTCCCTCCCTCCCTCTCTCTCTGTAATACTGTATTGTTCTGTCCTTCCATCATAGGTGATAAAAGTTGCCTTTCTCTGTAACTCTTCCAGTATCGTTCCAAATATTTCTTAATAGATATCAGATTCCAGCGCTGTTCAAATTTACCAGTGCTCTGCAGCAAATTGATTCCCTTGGCTGATGGAAGATTGTCTTTATCAGCAGTAGGAAGACAAGCAGTTTTGGCAAATGTTCCTAACCCCACAACCCTGCTCTTGCTTTGAAGAATTCCTCAATTCTCCAAAGAGTTTTGGCAACTGAAAGAGGAGTCTGAGTTGGATGAATGAAACTGCTGAAAACTATCACACTCTGATGGAAGCCTTCACTGAATATGTGTCAGTAGGGGGAACCCAACTGCACACAGCCCCTCGTGGCTTATAAAATCGGTTGTTTATTAAGGAAGCTAAAGCCAAACCAGTTTAAACATGAAGAAAGCATATAAATTAACATTCTCTAGAAATAAATTTAGCTACAAGACGTGGAGCATTAGGCAGGGTTTGGTGGGCATTTAGAATTTAGATGCATGGCATCATGCAAACAAATGCTTAATAGAAGGAGGAACATTACAAAATAGGGATACAGTTGGATCTCTTCTGTAATATTATGAACAAAGTTAGCTAGAGCAGGTTGGTGGAAAAAAATACACATGCTCCTTGTTCAACAACTGTTCAAAGTTATCAGGATACTGATCAAGAGGGACTTATGAGCAGTCTATGAAGTTATGGCTGTCTCAACATTCTATGATCATATAATCACAATTTGGGCCGTTGGTAACCAGCTTGCAATTATGATGTTTGCGGTATCCCATGGTCATGTGATCACCATTTGCAACCTTCCATGCTGGTTTCTCACAAGCAATGTCACTAGTGAAACCAGCAGGAGGTTCCAAGTTGTTCCCACTGCTTTCTTGCCTGCCTACCCACATGCCAAACCCACCTTTCCATGCTTTGTAACTCCTGCCTGTGGTGCCCACCTGTGGGTCTTGCATACCTGGCTTCATTCCGTAGTGTCTGTCTACAGAACCTACCTGTCCAACTGTAGCTCTCACCCACTGGCCTGCTTGCTGGGGACTTTCACTTCCACCTATGTTGCAGTCATGTCAGGTCCTTGCTTAACAACCTGTGCAGTCCTAAAGTTACAATGGGAACCAAGTCTGTGGGGATTGCCATCACTAAGCAAAGTGATTGTAAAGTTCAATCTCATGTGACTGTATCGCTTAGTGACAGAAATTCCAGTCACAATTGCCATCATAATTCAAGGACTAGTTGTAATCTGCTAATTAGTATCTTTGCAAAGAATATTTATATTTATGACCCATCATATTCTGAAGTCAGGTGGTCAATTTAATGGGTATCAGAATCTTTCACAACAACTATTTGCTGAAAGGCTGTTGCCCATGTTTTGAAGACTTCATGACCAACTATTTCAAGCCAGAAAACCAGTATTACAATAATCTTTTGAAGGGCAATCCAATCAGATGCATGGATCCAAGCTTTGGTTAATCATCACAGGGAGGGAATGAGGGAGTTCAATTCATTGCTGAAGAAACAGGGTAAATATTTGAATAAAATACATACACAACAGAACAGGCATAGCAACCCTGCTTGCTGCTTTCCCGAACAAGGAATGTTCCATCTCGTTTCCCACGTAATAAATTTTCAGCTTGGCTTCTGTTGATATTTCCAACATTCCATGTGCGTTCATCATGATGAGGCAAATCCTCATCATCTTCTACTATAGAGTATTGGCTGTTCAGAAGCAACACGAAACAATTAAAAACCAGAAATAATAAAAGACCAAGCATAATATAAGAATTTGTAACAAAATCAAAATCAAACTGTTTGACCCAAGGCACTTTTGTCGACCATAAGGCCCCATTGCTAGGTTTTCAGAGAAATCAATATTATATAGCTTGACACTCTTCTCTCTCTGTCCATCCATAAATTTTAGATTCATAAAAATAAATCTAACTGAATGTTGCTTTTTACTTTCCTGATATAGTATATTATATATTTTGGACTATTCGCTATAATTCAATGAAAACTTATGAAGTGGTTCTTATTCACTTGACCCAAATATTAAAGTTAAAACTCTTAGAAATAATAAATTTAGATTTTGGAAAAGAATAGACCACTTAAAATAAATAGGGCAGTGCAATACTTTGGGTTTCATTTCAAAAAGATACCTCAAACCATGTGGAGAACAACCTCTATGCATTTAATGTTTCCATGTCCTTTGCTTGGAATACCTGCAGCTGCAAAAGCAACTGCACAATCCCAGGAAAAGATGCAGCTGTTTTAAAGAGTTATAGACAACTACTACATTCATGTTATTACTCTCTGTACATCGCTAAAAACGATGAATTGAGCTTTGTATGCAAGGAATTCCTACTGGAAATTCTTCTTTACTGAACATAATAGAAGGGCAACAGAATTTTCTGTGTAGAAAAGTTATCAGTGGGTAGCAGGAATTGTAGTTTGCACCTGGATTTTAAGAACTGGTTGTAAAGAAAATCTGAATCATGATTATTTTAAAATCATGCTTATTGTATCTTTAGAAAGATCTCCAACTTTAGAAAGCAATGCATTGAATGAATGAGAAGTTTTATTTACTATTTCTGAATCTCTTTAGATCACCAGTAGGATTCAATTTTTAGGCAAAAAAAAAAATAGATTCATAAACTAAGCTCTTGAATTAATTATATGTTATAAAATGATTTATATTTATAAATATTTACATTGAATGATTAAAACGCAATGAGAAGAATCTAACTGAGATAACATTCCCCCCCCCCATAGAAATATTATGGATACTCACTCTTCTGAATTTTCATTGCCAAGCCATTCATTCAGTTTCTTTTGCCGAACACCTTTCTGTGTCAGCCACCTAGAAAGCAGTTTTGAAAACACAGTTAATCAAGATAGCGTTCATAGAAACTCAACTGAAAGAAGTGCACTTAAAAGGATGGAATTCACAAATACTTACATCAAGTACTGATCTCTAGTTTTTCGGAGCTGTATAAGGTCTGGCTTAATGCTGTTCATGCGTTTGTCTATTTCTCTGTATTCTGCAGCCTGCTTCTTTAGATCTTCTTCCAGTCTATGTCGGCTGTCCACAATTTCACTTATTCGTGATTTCAGCTTTTCATAGTTGTGCATAATTCTGGAGAAAATAATTTGGCATGTTTACATCTCATTCTGGTTTCTTGTTTTTTTCTGAAGACGTTTATATGTTAAAATATATACTTTTGACTCACTGTCACCAACCTTTGTATTTCTTTTTCATTCCCTTCCCGTTTGAACTTTTCAATATATTCCTTGCTGTATCTTTCTTGCGTTTGGCACTGTTCTTCAAATATTTTTATGGTTTCATTAAATGCTTCAATAGCAGTTCTTTTCATTTGAATTTCCTGGATAGAATTAAAAACTGTTTAATAATACTTTAAAAGTGACTAATTGAGTAATACTGAAGCACTTTTATGATGTCATTTAAAAAAAGAGAGTATCACTAAAGGATAGGACTGAAAAAGACGTCTTTTATAGCATTTATTAGTTTACTATTATTTTCTACAAGAGGTAGCTTTCCAAAATTTTAGTCTAGACTTTTCCAGCTCTAATTGAGCCCAGAAGATTCTGCATGGGAAGGATGTACTATTCCCACAAAGCATTTTCTACTTTTATAGTTCCTCTTTGTGGCTGATGTATGGATGCCTCATTAACCATCCTACTTTTTAAATCATTGGCATTCAAAAACAATCTCTCTATATAAATGTATACAGTATGTAAGCATTCAAGAAATATATTAGAGAAAATGTTATCAAAATACTTGAAATAATTCTTTAGATTACTGCACTTCTCTAATTTAAATAGATCTACATATTTGTATTTATACAGAGATAATTTACAATATACATTTAATATATTGTTATATTGTCAACATACTGTGTGAACACTTCATCTAAATAATTCTAAGCCATTAGATATTCTGTGGTTAAAATGTACCTGATTTTAAAGAAAACATTTATTACTGATTTACTGCTGAAGTTGCTGTTGAAGACCATAGCAATACATCAGTAATATTTGGATGGTTTAGCACTATTAATCAATCCTAATCTTGCTTCAAACCATGTTGTTTTTAAAACTGAAACTGAAAGGTCAAGATTTAGCCTCAAACTCCATCAAACTGAATTTCACTGGATTAATGGGTCTATTGGATGAACCACTTTATATTTTAAATTGTAACTGACATTTAACACTGCTAACCTGAGATGTTCTTGTATAATCTTCATAGAGTCTGTCATATTCTCTGTTCTTTTCTTGGAACTGAATATTATATTCATGTAATTTCTTTCCAACAGCTTCAATACTATCTTCTTTAACCACTTGATCCTAGGAGGATAAATACATGGAAATACATTCAATAAAGGCAGACCCTTTCTTACAGTATTAACACTTTTCATAAAACAGCAATCAATCAAATAATAATTTGCAAAAGAATGATCACGCTAAAACTTGTAAAATAGTTTTTTTCACAGAACATAAACCATTACTTATGATGCTGCCACCACAGGCAGGGCTCCAGGACATCTCTTGCTATGGGATAAATGTATGACTTTATTAGACTAATAAGTTATTGCATGTGAATTTTTTTGTTCATACATTTTGTTTGTTTGCTACTAAAAATTAATAGTGGTCACTGTGGAATTGGGCATGTTATACAAATTATCTTAAAATTAGCAACATAAAAAGGTAATTTTTCATTCATCATCCTTCACACCTGGAATACGTATTTCAGGTGTGAAGCTATATCAGCTATCAATTTGCAAAAACAAAAGCAACAACAAAATCTTCCTTGGTTAACCATAGTAAATATTTCATGACATGAGATTTTTCTTCTAGGCAGGAACCCAGAATTTGCTTCCAATAAACAATGAACATATTAATTTTAAAATTGTTTGCAGAATTTCAGTGTAATTTCCACAGTATGACTATTGTTCGCACATTTTTCGGTATAATTTCCACAGCAGTAACTTTAAGGGTTTTGAGTTGTCACATCTACAAAATAATTTCATTTATATAATTCATTACTATTCATGCAACAAACAGAAAGGGAATAAGATGTATATGTTACCTGTTGATATTTGGATACTGGATAAAGTAATTTTACATCTAGTTTTGGATTATATTGAGCTAAAGATTCATTTCGATAGTGGTTTATTAGCTCAACCACAGAATTGAATGTTAATGGATCCGAAAAACCGTATTTCCCATCTCGATGAAAGATTTTGATTAATTTATTATTTCCTCCTTTCCTATAAAGTTCAGAAAAAAAGACTCAGCTACATTCATAATTATTTTTTTTCTTCTGCAGTGTGATGTAAAGGTGATACCTGATTCAGCTGTTTTTACCTTAGTGTGAGAGTGTAGTCACCATGCATTTTGGTGGAGGCATCTCGTACCAGGAATGTACCATCAGCAGTGTCACGAAGTTTCTCATTGACTTCTTCCCTATTAGGGAACCAAAGGCAACCTTAAATTTAATTTTCTCAAGAAAGAGCACCCTTTTGCATAACTTTCCTACTTTTTTCTCATTGCAAGGTAAACATTGGCATGTTTGAGTTATTACAATGGAATTATTCTTTTTGCTCAAAAAATTATATCATGGAAGAATTTGATGGTAACTCATATATACAAAAGAAAAGGGGAAAAGGATAGATACGTTTTGTATTTCTAGTCTTGTGTATTAACATAATGAGTTTTAGATGTAAAAATCTAGCTAGATGTACCTATTCTGGATATGCTTTTAATAACAGTAAAATAGCATAGAAATGTTTAATGAACCTCTTGTTATTTTTTATTCTTGGCAATGTATGTGTCCAGATATCAGAAACTGTAGTACAAATGCTTTAAATTATCACAATATAGTGCAGGTTAAACACACGTATGTATCATCACCAAGATAAAAGGTATATTTTTTGTCTCACCTTGAAATATCTCCCCAGTACCATTCAGCATCTTGCAAAGACATGTTATTATTCATACCGTTATTTGTTACAGTGTTAGGTTTTGGAGGTTTTGGAGGCAATGCTGCAATGAAATTTAAAAAGAAAATAGCTTAGCTATATAGCCTGCAGGCAATGTAATTTTAAATGCTTTAATGAAACTATTTTTAATTTACATCTATTAAATTATTGCAAGTTGAATTTTCATTTTTTTTTGTCATCTGTCATAGTTTTCAACTTATCATTAACCAGTCCAAATAGCATGCATGCAAAATTAATTCCTTAACAAAACAAAACAAAAAAACCCCAACAACTCCCAAAACACTAATTTATCAGAGTTGGAGGTGATTTTTTTTTTCTGGGTATAAGACTGCAGCCTCTGTTGTCTGACAGTCTTATGCTTCCAAGTCAAGAGCCCCTCCCCCCTCCATATAGAACAGAACACAATTTAGACTTCCAAATGTATAGACTGAAGTTAAGTCTCCTCTTCATGCCACATCCTTTGTTATTAATTTCTTTGTGCATCACTTTATATAATGCAATTATGTTTTAAGCCCTCCTTCCCCAATTTAATTACCCAGGAGGAATTGCTTTGCTATCAACTCCAGCTCTGCTGTGGTTTAAGAACAAATCAGCAAATCATCAGTACTACTACATGTTTTTAGCACACCACCTGGGTTTCTTCTGCCTCCTTTCATAATGTGCTGTCCCCAAACACTTTAAGGAACCAGTCTGTGTCCAGCTATCCCTTGCCTTAATCTGAGCAGTCTATAGGATAAAACTCTTTCAAATGGCAAGACTGATTCAAGCCACATAGTTCTCTGTTGCTCAATGTCAAGGCTGCATACATACATACACCCGTGTGTAGCAAAAAAAATACTGCAGCATTCCCTGGCTTATCAGCTAAAGGGGGTCATGTTTTAAAAAATACATAAACATCAAGTTCACTCATTAAAGTTCACTCATGCCTTTGCCCACTAAACACATTTATGAAACATATAAATCAAAATGACAATTGCATCTTCAGAGGTTTAAGGAAAGGTAACAATCTGCTCATCCTGTGCTAAATGCTTGCAGATAAACAGGATTGCATCTAATAAACTGTAACAGTGACTAACAATTTTAAATGCTAGCATTGTTTAAAAAGAAGAAGAAAAAAAAGCCCCAATTGCATTCTGAGTCAATCATGATGCAGAAAACAGGACCCCCTTTTCTGTATAACCACAGACCTACAGGTGAAAGAACAAAACTAAAACAGAAACATACAACAATTGCAATTTCATCTAATAAAGAAAAAAGACATTTGCACAAACCCCTTTCCTGACTCCTTTTTCAATGCACTAAACACAACTGAACAATATCACAAAATTCCTCCTAAACAGTTCACCCTGGCTCTAATAACAGCAACTGTAACATTCAGAATATGCTTGCCTTTTCAATCATAATGCTGCAGTACAGTATTACCATTACCTGGTGGGTCCATTTCTATGTAAAAAATCAAGTCTGTGCCACAATTTACATCTGTCCTAGGATACTCTAGATCCACTTCTTCCATGTTCCAGACTGTGTTGTACATTTGTATGACTTTCAGCAAGAAAGCTCAGTTAAAACGAAACAGTCAGGGTCTCTTTGTAATGGTGTCTTGGAATTCATTTTAAAACCTCTAAGGGGCTGCACTGTAACCTATTACATCATAATCCCCAGCCAATCATGTCAAAAATAATGTCACTGGACCACTCCTATTTCATCACTTTTGTTATTCATTGTTAATCTTATAACAATTGTCATTTCAGAAAGAGCAGGCACTAATGATCGGCACCTGATCTTATTTATTAAAAAAGACTGAACGGGTTTCTCAGTTTACACAGATTTCCCCCTCCCCCTTAATCTTTTCTGTCTGGCATTTGGTACATTCCACTCCTGGCAGGTTGACAAAGGGTGATATGCTGCAGCAGGAAGCCTTCCCTTTCACTACTACTGTGGGATTCTTGGTGGATGGAGAGCTACTTCCCTTCTAGACACAGCAATGCAATATCAGGGCATTGTTTAGCTTTGACGGTGGCGCTTTTAAAGAAAAAGAGAGAAACCAGAAATCTCAAGAGGTATTGCCCAATGCCTATTTTATGGATGTTTGGTTGTGAATAAGCTTTATCCTAATAAAATGTTCTTAAGTTGTCATTTGTTTCTAAGTAGGATCGACGTAGGTCATTATTCACAGGATATTTCAATTGCTTTAGAGTTTAATATTCCAAATAGCTTTATTTTTAAAAAGAAGAACAAAAAAGCCTCAGCTGCAGCAAGGGGGGGGGGGGAACCCAACCACTCGCTGACTGTTACCTGACTTTCCAGCCTGTGAATGTTTAGGGAAATGAGGGAATGCTCTTTCAATAAACTTGGTTTGCATGGATTTAGTTGACTAGATTCCATAATTTGCCAGTTTTGCCATTCTAAAAACAAAAGATCTTTGTGATAATCAGTTTATCAGATTTCCTGTTTCCTCAAGCCCTGAAAAATCTCTCAGCTAAAGCAAACCAAAAGCAAAGTTCTTTTTTTTTTTTTTTTTGAAAACATAATTTCTTCTCTAGCCTTCAGACAAGTCTTTCATATCATACAACTCGTCGTGAGTTGCATTTTGAATATATAGCAGAGTTTCACATATGAAGGCCAGTCATGGAGAGTATTGAACTCAAGTATTGCCACACAAATGATTGCACTGGTATTGTTACAGTTCTGTCCTTACAGCCATGAATTTTACAATCAAAGCACTGCATATAAGAATCATCTTGTGACCCATTTTTATCTTCTGAAAGAACCAACATTTTATAACTGCATACCTATAGCACCATATTGACAAATGCACCTACAAACTCACTACCCTAGCACAACCATGCTTAAGCCCATCTTGAAATCGATTTCCCAACCTTCCCTATCCAGTTAGGTGGATGGACACCACAGATTCCTTCCACTTGTTTCAAGTAACAGGACACTTCAGAGAATCCCAGACACAAGCTCAAACAGTGAAGCTCAGGGTTTAGCCCACCTGCTACCCAAATAGCTCTGCCGCTGAAGCGCATTGCTTACATAGGTTATGTGAGATATAAAGCAACACAACTGACCATTAATCGAATTTCTTTCTCTCTCTCATTTGTATTTCTCTGAAATAGGTTTCAACAAAATACATTTTACAGGTGGAAGAATAGGATTTTCTTGCTAAAATTATACTACTGGCTAAATTCTGGACAGTTGCATTTGTATGATCAAGTTACTGCTTAACCCAAACTAGTCTAGCTTGCTATGACATCACGTGGCAAACCAGAAAGAGCAAGATTCTGACAAACTAGTGATTTTCCACAGTTCCAGCATATGTTGAACAGGTTTCATTAAAACACATTTTGACTATTAAAGCATAACTATTTAATCTGCTTGGCTGCAGCATATATTATTCTAATTGTGACAGAGATTGAGAAATATCCATACACACACATACCATACCAGAGTTCCTTCCTTTAAAGAATCAGTTTCTCTCTCTCATTACTTCAAATTAAATCAAGAATTACTTACTTTGTATACTATGCATGGTGCACATTCACCCTTGTATATCATAACCTGAAAATTCCAGACTGAATGTGGTTTCAGCTCAGCTTCACAGATTAAAATACAAATTAAATCAGGCTTTCCTTGGATTCAAATCTTCTCTGAAACAACTAGGAAGAAGTTATCTCGAAAACTGTAATAAATTCTTCTGCTTGGTAAATCCAGAAGAAAAAGCTGCAGTGAGTAGAATCAGAAAGCTCCACGTCTTTTGGAAAGAATCAATCTCTGTTCTTGCTGAGACTATCAGCCCATTTCTGTTTCATCACTGAATTTAGCTGGCTTTTTTTTCCTTTTTTTAAAAAAAGTCCTCTGTAGCTTGCACGTCTCTCCAAGATAAAGATCTCAGTTTCATGATTAACTTGGGCAGGTTCAAATATTTGCTGAGCAAGGGATTTCAGGTGGAGGAGGGGAGCTGGAGTCAAAGTCAGAGTTGTCACCGGCTAACAAGTGGCCAATGCAAGACTAACCGGTCTCAATTTAGCTAAGCAAATGAGAAGACCATTGTAAGTAGCCTTAAAACAGTTTCTATAACCAGCTGCTCCGTGCAGTGTTGAAGGAGACTGTCAAGAAAAGCATTATGAGCAGCCAAATACAGGAAGTGGCTAAGCTAATTCAGGAGGGGGGGGGGAGAGATAGCATGAAAGCCCTCCTTGTAAAGTTTTGTGCCTCAAAAAGCCCACAAATTCAGACGCTCTTTAGCATTCACGACACCACCTTCCAATGGACCACAATGACAGGTGCTGTCTGAGGACTCCCCAAACGAAGCCGTATACTACTGAGTCAATTTAAAATCAACTTAAAGTCTAACTCCTCCCCGACTTCTTGCTGGCTTCAGCTTCCACAGACCTTTTATAACATAAAGAACAATCTTATGAATCTTTATTTGCAAGTACTTCCCACGGTGTCCAATGGGGTTTGTTCTCAAGCAGATATGCCATAAATTAGATCCCTAAACAAGGGCGTTATTTTGGTCGAGCGAGGTCAATAGCACTGTGCAAGATAAAGATTTTAAAGTGAATGTTATTTGATCAAATCCATTTCACTATATCTGGATAGAAAGGTTGAACAAGAAATTGCTTACCTTCCTAACAATCAGTATAAATGGGACCTACAAACTTTCATTACAATAAGAAATTCTCTTATAGCCTGACAACATAAAGGTAGTAGGGGGAGGGAAGGGCAGCAAGATTACAGAAGTGCCTGTATCAGCCAGCCAGGCACACCCTAAGTACCTAAGCATCTATAAATCCATTAGTCTTGTGGCACAATTTTATTTTATGACTTAATCAGTGGGTTTTATTTGGTTTCTTTCTCTCTCTCTCTCTCTTTTTTTTCCTGGCAAACAGACAAATATTCTTTGGAAATTAAACATTGTTTTCCTTTTTTCTTTACATATTATGCTTTGGGACATTCTGCTCTTAACATCCATTCAAGGCATGGTTGAGAATGATACGGTTGTAATGGCTGCTGAAGGAGAACGCCCTAGAAAAGTGTTCCCCAGCTGTTTTTGCTTTCTAGAAAAACGTTCACCTCTGGCTATACTTTTGGCTTGAAGAAGAAATGGAGGCAGAGAATAAAAAAGGAGAGAGAGAGAGAGAGAGAGAGAGAGAGAGAGAGAGAGAGAGAGAGAGAAAGAGAGGAGTGAGAGACAGAGACAGACAGAGAGAGAGAAACACACACATACATACATGGATACGCACACTTAATAAATCTTCTTCTTCCTAACGCTATTCCCGCGCAGGGTCCGCATACACACACTTAATAAATAATTCAGGGGAAAAGATATGCCCAAACTATTCTTGAGATTGACAACAGAAGACTGATGTTATATGGTAGCAATTCTCATGAATGAAGGTAAATATAGGTATCCCAGGATAATGTTGCAGAATCCAATCTGAGTTGGTCAGCAGGACTAAAGATTTATTTTTCCAAGCTTTGGGGCTCGTGCTGGAGTCGAGCATCGAGGAACTTTTCTCTCTCCAGAATATATGCACTGGTCTGGTCTGTGCATTGTATTTATATGATTCCTGGTTGTGTATAACTTTTAGTTGTTAATTAGGGTGTTAATGGCCAGCTATTAAGTCATTAATTGTTGTTTCCATGCCTTCGACTCCTAAGTACCAGATAGGCTGGTGGTAAATCAGCACTCCTATTGATTGACAAGGGACCCGTTTACCAGACTTCAATCATTTCTCAGACTATTTCTCTGGTAGTAATTCTCCCTTGGATTTCCCCCTAAAATGGATAGGTTATCGTAGATATGTACTTTGAGTTCCTGCCCTCTAGCCAAACTGGTTTGGATTCTTGCCCTCTAACATGACTGCTAGCCTATAGACCTAATTTTCATTTGGCTTTCTTTTTCCTTCTCTGCTCCCAATGAAGCCCACCAGTAGAAATAGAACAATCTGGACAACCATGTTTATTTCTTACATAAAAAAATTATCAAGCCTTAAGAGCGAGCAGGCTTTTTAATGTTATTTGATTTTTAAACTTCGATTACAATCTGTTTGCTTATAACTGTATTCAAAATCTTTTGTAACACTCTGCTATGCAATACTTGGAAGAACCCTGTCCTACATATACCGTAGTCTACCATTATCCAGAAGTAAATGAGTTATATTGGACAGAAAAAAGTTCTCCATAAACATTATTTTTCCACACATTTTGAATTTTGTGCTTTTGGTGACAGAAAAATTGCATCCTTACTCGATCTCGTGGTACCTAGCAACCAACTTTTGCTGGGACAAAGAAAGAAGAACCTCCCCCCCTCCAAATAAATGGAGATGGTATTTAATGTCCCCCCCCCATCTAGCCCTTCCATTACTAGAGGCAACCCTTTTATATAGCTCCACACATATAGGAGAGTAAAGTCATGGCATCGCATGGAGGAACTAGCTTGTGACTTCTGCTTCCTTTTTTCCCTCTTTTATTAAGTGCTGAAAAGGCAGAATTTTGACATTTGATGACTGAATTCTCAAAGCAGAACCTGAATGAGTACACAGGGTCTAACATTCAACTGTGGCTGCTTCAGTGATTCTATCTACAATTTATATTAAAGAATAACAAGCCTCTGATGCAAAGTGCAGTACTGAATTTAGTACTGAATATGTTGAAATGGTATGCAATTTGGTTATTATTATTCGCTAAAAAAGAGAGCCCTCTGCTGGACAAATATTGTAATACTGATTAGCTTCAAGTTGAATAAAGGGGTTGGAATGATGTAATGTCAAATACATTAGATTCTAAGCACAAATGACTTATGATTCATGTTGATACTGAGAGTTGTCTTTAATATTTCGCTATTATAAAATATGTCATGTCTTCATTTAATTACCATAAAAACTTCTCTTCACTCAGCTATTTATTCATTCATTTCCCACCTTTATTATTTTTACAAATAACTCAAGGCAGCAAACATGGCCAATACACCTTCCTCTTCCTGCTTTCCCCACAATAACAAACCTGTGAGGTGAGTTGGGCTGGGAGCGAGTGATTGGCCCAAAGTCATTCAGCTGGCTTTCATGGCTAAGGCAGGACTTGAATTCACAGTTTCCTGCTTTCTTGCCTGGTGCCTAACCACTAATTTAATACAGAACGAACAAGCATCAATTTACACCTATGTATTTCCAATACAGATCTGGCAGTTTTGCAGCCTTATATAGTTCCTGATAGGGCACTCTAGGTGTACTTACCCAAAGTAAATCCTACTGCATTCCAAAGAGCTTATTTCTAGATAGGTTTGCACAACTTAATCTTTGGGGAGAGGTTTTTTTCCCTCCTTTTTGCCAAAGATCTCATAAAATATACCGTGTTTCCCCGAAAATAAGACCTGTCTTTTATTTTTTTTGAACCCTGAAATAAGCACTTGCCTTATTGCCATGCACTCAAAAGCCCGATTGGGCTTATTATCAGAGGATGTCTTATTTTGGGGAAAACAGGGTATTATACATAGAATTTTTTTAAAAAGACTCAAATGTATGCTTTTCTTAATTTATTGTGTACTAAAATAGATTTCTCACCTAAGTTTTATGCTCATATTCAGTAGTTAATTAAAAATCCTGGACTAGTTAAACTGTATTGGCTACATTATAGATTAAGAAAGAAGAATTTGGCGTCCAGAGATTAGAAGCAGGACATAAAGTATTCACCATCTTGACAGAACTCCTTTATTTGTGTTTTTTTACATTCCCTAATTTCTAACTTTCCTATTTTGAAGGATACGTAACCGGTCTAGTAGGGTTGAGAAACTTTTGTCTCAGAACTGAGGGAGCAACTGTGGACCATACTAAATTATATAAACCAATAATCTGACCTGTTTTTAAATACTTTCCTGTCCACAAGATAAGAAGAACACTTTGCAGAGAAGAAGAAAAATATAATTTAAAGAATACAGTGGTGCAGTGGTTACAATTTCTGCTGACTGCCAGCTGCCAGTTCAATTCTTACAGGATCAAGGTTGACTCAACCTTCCATCCTTCCAAGGCTGGCAAAATGAGGACCCAGATTGTTGGGGGCAATATGCTGACTCTGTAAACCGCTTAGAGAGGGCTGTAAAGCACTGTGAAGCTGTATATAAGTAAATTCTATTGCTATTATGGCAGCATATGATATAATCCCTATCAGGACCATATGTGGTATCTGCAATTTTATTACCATCTATATTGTTAGCATTATTAAAAACAAGCTGCCCAATTAATCAAGATTTTTTGTTTAGTTAATTAATAGGATTGTATTTACTTCATATATATCATTAAAATAATTCCTATGATTTCTTTAGAAATTATAGACCATATTAAAATCTGCAACACAAATATCTAGATAGAGAAATTATTTACAACCTGTAATTATCAAAATACTACTATTCTCTAAAATCTAAAATCAAACAAACCCCTGTTCTGCTTTTAAGAAAATCATTCTGTAAACAAGTAAATGAGATAAAGGAACGTTTATGTTTGATGCTCAAAAAAAATCAGATAAAAACGTTTATGCCGTGAAATGTGGCATTTTTCGCTAAGTTCATTCAATATGTTTTCTATGCATTGCATTTGTGTCAAAAGGAATCTATTATATCATGTACAAATGTTTTTACTGAAATAGGCTAATCAGTAACAAAAATGTAAAACTGATGAAACCAATGACAAGAAACTGCAGTATGCAATCATTTGAAGCACCTCATAATATATCTGCCCGTCTACACCTCTGGGTATGCACATCTCCCTGGTTATATAACAGTTTTTCCCCTTAAGGATTGTTGGACTTCTATAAACTGAAGGGTTCGCCAAATATGCTGATATTCCCCCTGTGTATTTTTGAATGGTGCCATCAGTTATTTATTATTAGTATTAGTATTAGTATTCAGAGGACTCAGAATATCAGCTGCTAACCCTAATTTAAGCAAGTTCTTTGCCATTGTGCAAGAACAACAGTCTTACGATGGCATTGGAAAAACTTTATAACTATCAAAGAAGTTATTTGAATCCAACTTACATTACTAGTCAGTGTGCTACACCAAATATGTAGTTACTAGCAGTTACTGTTGTGTTCTTAAGTATGGAACACATATTTATGACAATTTGTTTAAAGCCACATCCATGAGAAAACACACATACATTGCAACATTACTGTAAAACAACCAATAAAGACCATGTTGTTGACTTTAAGTTGGGATATATTCACACTCAAATTGTATTTGGGTGATAAATCTAAACCAGACTAGCAGGAAATACACAATACCATGAGAAATGGCTTTACCACTGGACACAGTCCAACACATCCCACAGATACCTGGCGGGCAGTTTTTATTCTCCACATAGCTTATAGAGGGGTTATGTGCTACAGCTTTGAACTATCTTGTGCCAAGATGCACTTGCTGCTAGTATTATGAAAAAAATAACTTTCAGTAGAGTCCTTGCTATTTCTCTTTTGCACACTAAGACAAACACCTAACTGTTTAAAGAAGCAAAGGAATCTTTACTGTGTACCAAGTGATATACAAAAGAATATCAAATATTGGCAAAAAAAATCACGCTGCAAATAAATATATTATTTTTAAAATGCATCCCATCTGACATGAACTTCATCAAATGTAGGAGTTGTTGGTTGCAAAAGAAAACAAAGACACCAACTTCAAAAAGTTTCCAAAATACATGTTTTCTTACCTGGTGCAGGTTGTCTCTCATTCAATTCACTTGTAATTAACACTTCCAATATTTTTATATGTTGTTCACTGTCAGAGCTGTAAAAAACAAGAAAAATGACCATGTGTTACAGTAAAACAAAAAAGAAGTTGGAAAGAAAAAATTATGATTATCATTGAAGAAAAATTTATAATTATCAAGACTCGGGAACACGTAACTTACCTGGCTACTGGAGATCTAAACAGCAAAAGGCTAAAAATTTCAGCCAGAGATTTTGCATTTAAAGGGTTTTTGGCAGAAACCTGGCAAAGTCTAGAGAGATGTTTAAGGAGATACTGGAGTGTGAGCCAATACTGTTGAGGTATGTTAGGAGATCTGATGAGTCTTTTCAATGCTTGAGCATATTCTTCTGAGTTCTGTAATTCTGGAAAAAAAAAATCCTTGTCAACTTGAAATCACCAGCATTTGTTCTAAACAGCCATGGAAAAGCATCAATTTTGCAAGAAGACATCAATCCCTTTAATGTAAACTAAAACACTTTTCCTTGTAACAATGAAAAATTAAGCAACCGTGGATGGGAAAAGATCAATTATACCAAGTCAAATTGAAACTGAAATATAATTAGATGAAAACCACTAAACGTTCAGTTAATGCTGGCAGAAATCTCCCCTTCGCCTCACGTGACTGGGTAATTTCTGAGATGTAGCAGATAAGACTCAAGAACGCAATTCTAACTTTGAAAGTTGTATCCTGTCCCCATAATAAGCAACTGCATTTGAAAACTGAAAAGGTTAAATACACAGTCTGATTTCATAATGAAGGGACAAACCTTATCTCTAAGTCTTTATTGCACTGCATCCCAAATCCAAATGGACTTCAGAATCATGTCTAGCTAATACATTTACCTTGTGCATACAGATAGAAAGTTAACAATTAGCTTTTTCTACATACAAATCCTTGATTGGTTAACCAATGTTTGAACAAATAATATACTCGCCAAGTTACATGGAGTTCTTAACACTCAGATCTATTTTGTACATTAGGTTTTTAAAGTGTACACATACATATTCAATCATGTGTGTCTTACAGGTATACATGCCAGAGAACAGAGTTAGCTGCAGATGATCCCAATTTATGTATTTCATGTAATGGAAGAAGCTATAATAATGTCCTTTTACATTATTACGTTGGAAAAAGATACAAAACTCATCAGCAGCATCCCACAACAGACCAAAATAATATTCCCACAATGATGTAATCATATAGATGCCATGTCTGACGCAATGACATGAACTGTAGCGTTGCATCATGAGCATGCCCTGTAAAAATAAGGATCCTCAAACCCCCAACTCTACCAAAAGAAACATTTATAAGCATACCTTGTGCTACAGAAATCATTTCATTGTAAACAGATGCTGGAATGACAGGATTTGGCAAGTCGAGAAAGTACCTCTTCAATGCATCTGTTAAAATGTGAAGTTCAATTCCCTCAAAATCCACTGAAGAAGCCTCTAAAAAAACACAGAGACGTAAACATGTTATGCACTACATTTTGCCAAGAGCTATACTTCATTCAGGGAAGTATATTTAAACAAATGATGAGACCTGGCATTTTAGCAATAGCAATAGCAATACCACTTAGACTTATATACCACTTCACAGTGCTTTTACAGCCCTCTCTAAGCAGTTTACAGAGTCAGCATATTGCCCCCAACAATCTCGGTCCTCATTTTACCCACCTCGGAAGGATGGAAGACTGAGTCAACCTTGAGCCTCATGAGATTCAAACTGCCAAATTGCAGGCAGCCAGCAGGCAGCAGAAGTAGCCTGCAGTACTGCACTCAAATCACTGCACCACCGTGGCTCATTTTATGGACCATGGGCCACATCTGGCCCTTCGGCTGTCCCTGCCCAGTAGAGGGCAGGGACAGAGGCCTTCCATATCAATCTCAGGTTCTCATGTGGCTCCTTGGGAAAATTAATTGCCCATTCCTGATCTACAGCAACTTGAGGTTTTATTCAAATGTTGGGTATGGCCTCATGACAGAAAAGTACAAAAGTTTGTGTTCTGATGCACATTCCTTTGCCCTCCCCACAACAAGCAGTGTTGAATAATATCTGCATTTAACTCTCACGAGAATTATTTCTAGGAAGGGAATCCTGTGTAAATAAAACTTTTTGCAGTATTTTTCTTTCTATCCCCACTCAGAAAATTCTGGAAATCGCTACTACAGGCAGTCCTCAACTTATACCGTTCACTTAATGACCAATAGAAGTTACAAATGCCTCAGAAAAAGTGACTTACAATCAGCGGTGAAATCCATTTACCTTCACTACCGGTTCGGGAATGGGAGTGCGTGGGAGTGCATGCACGCGCCTCTTCTGTGCATGCACAGAGCATCATAAACAGGACGTAATGATGTCCCAGCAGGTGGGCAGAGCCTCCCGCCACTGGCGCTACCGGTTCATGTGATCCGGATAGATCCGGCCAGATTTCACCACTGCTTACAATCTGTGCTCCCATTTACGACCATCATCCCATCCCGCAGCCATATGATTGCAATTCAGGTGTTTGATAAGCAACTCACATTTATGATCAGTTGCAATGCCCTGTAGCTATGTGATTGTGTTTTTACTGATTTTTAGCAAAAAACTGCCATAGGATTAGCTGGATTCACTTAACAAAAATTGTCATACAATAGGGTCCAACTTGACTTACGATTGCAACAGTTTAGGATGGAAATTTTGGTCCCAATTGTGGTTGAGTAGGTACTTTTGGGTATGTCTTGAATCTTTTGTATTGTTTGCAGAGACATTTGCAATGATGATGTGTTTTTACTGTGACTGAGTTCCTCGCTATACATATGACAGGCAAACTATAATTTATTGGTAAGGATAGTGGTATTTTCAAAGATCCTATGATTGGATCTCTTATGATCTACTTTTCAATTTACTGGAATGTCATTAATAGCAAGCATCCCTCCTCCCTTCCTTAGCCCATTTAATGAGGTTTCCCTCTACCACTATTCCAAATACTATTTCTGCCACAGTATTTGATATATCCTATATAATGAAATTTAAATGTAATAAATGGCATTGCTATCTGAAAGCAAATTACACTGATATTAAATTATTACCCAATTTTTTTTTGAAAATAGTTGTGCTTACCACACTCAATAATCTGTCTTAATTCAACACTGCTGCTTAACCCTTGTGACTTATACAATGACGAACATTCCAGACCTTAAAAAAAGAAAGAAAGAAAAAAGAATGTATTAAGTTTTGTTGATGCTGAAAATTTCCTGTAGCTTTCGGTTGTTTACATTTCTTCCATGTTCTTGTATAATTATGTTCTCTATCTCTCCTGTGAGGAAACAGTATGGCACTCTTGCAAACTCTTGATTGTGTAACATTATTAATCTAATTTTATATCCAAAATCCTAACCTGAGAAAAGCCAAGTCAAATGTCAAAACTAAAAAACAACAACCTAAACCAAACCTTTAAAGTTTATGATTTCCTAAAAGGAGTGCTGAGGATCTTACTGTAAGTTACAGCTTAAAGGTTCTAGCCATTACAATAATACTCTACACTAATCCAGTTAAAAAGGAAAAGTAAGTATTTTATATTGCAATAGGTGTTGATTTTATTTAGGGTCTCCTGTAGCTTATTTTAATTTTTAAAGAACAATTTATAGCATCATAATAATGAAAGAGAAGGATCTGATCTTGTATGTCAGGGGTCCCCAATCCCTGGTCCATGGCCCAGTACCAGTCCGTGGCGGGTAAGCTTCATTTGCACATGTGTAGGGCAGCTAGGTTATGCACAATGTTTTTAATTGCTCTTTAATTGCTGTGACATGCAGGAAGGCCAATTTTGAGCCAATCACTCCTAGCACCATATACCTTGACTAGTTTCTATGGTAGAAAATGGAAATAGTAAGAACGCTGCCTTGAGCTCTCGAATAAAGAACAAGGAATAAATGTAATAGATAAAAGTGGATAGAACTGCAAGTATCCAATGTTGTAAGGCAAAAGGAACTGAGGACTGTAGAAAGTATTTTTATAGTAGTTTCTAAGGAGCTCAGATTCAGGAAATCAAATCAAATCAAATTTTGCATTAGGCAGCAATCTCATTATTTGAAATTATCAAGACTGTTCTTTCAGTGATATTATTTTTTCCGCCCCAATTAGCCTTCATTCATAATTTTGTAACTATAGCAGTACTGATAATCCTTTTATCAACTGCCTTGTTTAGTTACCACTCAAAGTTATGATGGTATAACCCCCTCCCTAGTTTTGCAACCAACCATTGCATTTACAATTGTCACACCATTCTGGTGTCACATGATTGCCATTCCTGTGCTTTACACAGCTGGAGTCTGACAAGCAGAGTCGATGGAAAATGCAGAAATAGCATTGCTGGTCACTGTCCTGTGATGCCTCACTTAATGACCGCAGCACTTAACAGCCAAAGGACTACCTGCAGTAATATTTCAACTGATGAATAACAGAATGCCTCTGAACATTCATTTGCTTGTTCAGAAAAGCTGACATCTTTGGTTAAATATTTGTTTGGAAAAGCTGGGAGACCCTGATCTTAGAAGCTGGAAAGCCTAATTTTAGTTTAAAAGAGTTGTTTTGAATATAACTTGTGGCAGTTTTTTGCCTTTTGTTTTTCAGGAACAACTGACTGCAAAAAAATTTATCTGTATGTTTGTTTCATATACCTTTTCATATAATACATTTGGAAATAGAGAAAACCTAGGGAAAGTTGGGAGTGTATACCTTGTTCAGTGTAAAACAAAATCAGGCATGTGTTGTATGTGTTGAAGGTAGCGCAAGTGCTATCTTCTTATCAAAGGAAGTATTTGAGGTTGTTGCCATTAACACTTGGCCCACGCAAGAGAAGCTGTGGGCAGCAAGCACAATGCTAAGAAATTTTATCCAACTCCCTTACACTTTTTTGCACCATCACCAATAGCGAAAGTTTTTTTTAACTTCAGTATGAATTGAAAAACTTAGCAAAATAAGTTTTAAATCATGGTAAGAAGAGATAAAGTGAAATAATTTGGTGCAGAGGAAACAGCCTGGTGGAGTGGTTGAGGCTAGAAACTAAGACACCGTAAGTTCTAAAATCCTGCCATAGCATGAAGCAGCCAGTTCTTCTCTCTCAGCCCTTGGAAGGAAGCAATGGTGAATCACTTTTGAAAAACCTTGCCAAGAAAACTGTGGGGACTAGTCCAAAGACAATATTGACTTAAAGATACAATAGGATTAAGAGGGAGGGAGGGGGACAGGGAGAGAGAGAGAGGGAGGGAGGGGGAGGAAGAGAGAATGAGAATAATTCCTTGGCATAGGAAATACTTTTCTGTTATGTATTTTGCTTGTTTGAGCCATTCGTAAGGAAATAAAAAGTATGTGAGGTAACTTAGATTAACTTTATAAAAGAGATTCTTTTGTCAAACCTTAAAGACAAAATAATTTGCTTCAATTAAGCAAATTACATGGTCTTCAATTTTATGTCTGTTTCTTAGCTGTTTTAGGAAAACGTTGTTAAATATGTTAATAAACTCACTAGCTGCATTTAATTCTACAGGAATCATAGACTCCAGATTTTGGGCACATTCTGTAAGTTAGCAAAGTTGAGGTACCACGATTCAAAAAATTTTGCCCTACAATGCACTTTTTCACACAGATAAATGTGAGTGTTTTAGAAGCATATACATTATTATACCAATTTATTAAAATTTATATTTTACCCTATTCATACCTTTTCTTTCAATAGCTTCCACTAATTTCACAAGAAGAGGTGGTGCATTTTCTGGAGGTGAAAACTGCTCACAAAGATCTGAAAGTGTAAAAACTGTAAAACAAACAAACAAATAAAATTCAGCTACACTTGAAATCTATAAAAAGACTGAGATATAATGCACCTGGTTAAATTTAAAATATCAAACAACTTCCCTTTATCAACTGTACTTGTGTTTTTTCCTTCTGTCCTTCATATACATGATAATTTTGTTTAAAATAAAATTTGATGCTGCAACATCAAAGTTCATATTTAAATCAAATTATAGACAAATCAGTGGTAGCATGAAGTGGGCATTCCCATGTCATAATTTTCCTTCTTTAAAAAATATGGGTTTCCCCAAGGTCACACAGCTGGCTTGCATTTATGTAGTAGTAATTTTCAGCATTCTTGCTATTATTTCTTGTCCATCTCCCTTGTCATTGAGATGAAGTAGAATTATTGGGCACAATGAGAGATTTCCTAGGTGCACATTTTATAAAACCTTCCCGTAATAAATAAGTAAATAAAAAATTATGTAACCATCTTAAAGTTTATTATCCAGGATCATTTGAGAGAGCTATATATTTTCTTTCATTACAGTCACAAACTAGCTAGTGATTCTGTATGAACCATTAATGCAGTGAGGTTTTAAAGCAAACATTTTGAAAGAAATACAGGAGATAAATTCTCTCTCTCTCTCTCTCTCTCTCTCTCTCTGTATGAATGTATGTATGTATGCATGCATGCATACACATACACATACACAACTACTATATTAAATAGATATACTAAAACATACTTTGGAAGAAACTTTTTTCATTCTTTTGCATGCCATTAGCAAAACTAAATGATACAGACTTAGAAATATTTTTGCAATCAACCTGGATGCTACAATAAAGAGAAAGCTGAGCTCTGAAATATGTCAAGTGCTATCCAATTTAAATTCATTTGGATATAAATCCAATGTTCAGTGGAGCTTATTTTTAAATGTGCACATACTATGATAACCTTAATGTGCTGGACAATTTAATTAAAGCCTTTCTAATTTCCTGCAAAGAAATCATTCAAGAAAGCAAGATTTTAAAAATAATATTTTAATGAGGGAAGGAAATAGGGCATCTTTTTCTTCCAAGATGATGTTTGTAATGTTCCTAGAAATGAATCTATGTTTTAGACGAAATATTGTTATTTAAAATGCAATTTATCTAGGACAACTAGGATTTTCTTTCTTGCATTTGCTTTTTTCCCCTCATCTCATCCAGTTCAACACTCCAATAAGTTTTATTAAAATTGATTGAAATTAGATGGAAATGAAAGGTACCAATAAAGAGTATTTGTAGGTCAGGGTTCAAATGAGGAATAATTGGTGCTCTCTTGAACTTGGTTGTTTCCTTCCAGATGTTTCATTACCCAAAATAGGTAAGATCATCAGTACTAGACTAAAATGAAAGGGTTAGACTTCTTTGTCCCTGTGCCCTGAAGTTCATTATATACTCTTCAATTTTCCATTTCAGAGAATTTGGGACCCAAAAGGAACTAATTTCTTTTACAGAAACTGCTTACAGTGAACAAACATCCCAGTAGATACTATTCATAGTAATTAAATATATAATTAAATCAGGATGAACAAATTATTACGTTACCAAAAAAGGGCATTTTAATACACTTCAATTTTTTTAAGGAACCTCTTCCAGTTGCAAAGCTTAAATTGTATAAACTCCCTATTCCATTACACCTTGACTTACATCCATTCGATTAGTGACCATTCGAAGTTACAATGGCATTGAAAAAAGTGTTTAATGACGTGTTTTTCACACTAACGATCAATGCAGCATCCTCACAGTCACATGATCAAAATTCAGGCAATGGCAACTGGCATATATTTATGATGGTTGCACTGTCCCAGAGTCATGTGGTCACTGTTTGTAACCTTCCGCTAGCTTCCAAGAAGCAAAATCAATGATGGAAGCCAGATTTGTTTAACAACCGCATGATTCAATTAACAACTGCAGTGATTTGATTAAGAAAGCAAAAAAAAAAAAAAGGTCACAAAATGGGGCAAAGCTCACTTAACTGTCTTGCTTAGCAACAGAAATGTTGGGCTCAATTGTGGTTGTAAGTCAAGGGCTACTCGTACACTACAATTGGGACTTTCAACATTAACTTTCCACCTTTGGTGGTGGTGGTGGAAATCAAATCTTTTGTGCTCATTTAGGTTAAGAAAAAAAAATCAGGAAACAAAAAAGGCCAGATATAGTTATGATGCTTTTACTTTTTAAAATGATGCTGCAAACATATGATAACAGATTGGAATAAAATATAATAATTCACCTATCAATGTCAAAACAAGCTTTGAATATGGATGAGAAACAATAGAGCAGAAAATTATACATTTATCAAAATATTATAATTAGAACTAAGCTAAACGGAGAAGTAAGGTAAAGGTTCCCCTTGCACATATGTGCTAGTCGTTCCTGACTCTAGGGGGCGGTGCTCATCTCTGTTTCTAAGCCAAAGAGCCAGAGCTGTCTGATGACAATTCCATGGTCATGTGGCCGGCATGACTAAACAGTGAAGGCGCACGGAACGCTGTTACCTTCCCACCAAGGTGGTCCCTATTTTTCTACTTGCATTTTTACATGCTTTCGAATGGCTAGGTTGGCAGAAGCTGGGGAAAGTAAAGGCAGCTTACTCCATTAGGCGGCACTAGGGATTCGAACCGCTGAACTGCCAACCTTTCTGATCAACAAGCTCAGCGTCTTAGCCACTAAGCCACCATGTCCCCTTTTGAGAAATATTGTTTGCCTAATGATCGAAGTAATGAGACCTCCTCATGGGTACTTAAGACCAGGTTCTGAAGTTCCAATGGTTGATCCCAGGATATGTGACTGCATTTCGGGTGCTCGGCAACTGGCCCACATTTACAGCTGCCTGCAATGTCCCAAGGGCCATGTGACCATGTTTTATTAATTTTTTCCTGAAAAACACCATTTATTTCCAGTTTCCAGCAAAATTAGTCCATAGTGAACGATGGGTTCACTTAACAATTGCTGCAAAAAAGATCGTAAAATTTGATTAGTCATGTGAGGTGATCCATTTTATAGCCATCATGACTTAGGTTTTAATGGGTAGGCTCCATTATGGTCGTTAAGTTGAGCACTATCTGTAAATCAAACCAAACCAAACCATAAAAAGAAATAGGTTAAGAATATAACTAACTAAACTAGCCTACAACTAAGACTTTATCAAGATCAGGGGTGAAATGCTCAATCTGGTAGTGATGGCGGCGGGTGGTTCGGAGAACCGGTAGCAAAAATCCCTGCGCCCCCACCATGCCCAGCTGAGCCACATAATCATCAGAGGCTTTTTTTTTAACTTTTAAAAGCATTTTTTCTACAACTTCTTCCGCCGAAAAAATGCTTTTAAAAGTAAAAAAAAAGCCTCTGATGATTGCATGGCTCAGCTGGGATCTCAGAGGCTTTTCAAAGCATTTTTTAAAACATCAGGCAACTCAGCTGGGATCATCAGAGAGACTTTTAAAGCATTTTTTTCTGCAATCTCTTCAGCGGAAGAGGTGGTTAAAAAAATGCTTTGAAAAGGCTCTGACAATCCCAGCTGTGTTCCTGATCGGCAGAGGCTTTTCAAAGCATTTTTTTTGCATTTGCAGAAAAAATGCTTTGAAAAGTTAAAAAAAAAGAAGTTGGCCACGCCCACCCAGTCACATTCTCCCCCCCCCCACCAAGCCACGCCCACAGAACTGGTAGTAACAAATTTTACATTTCACCCCGATCAAGATACTATATTAGTGCGAACATGCAATCTGTAATGATCATGCACAAAATAAAACAAAAACAAAATGTAACAACCAGTACCTGACTTTAAAAGTATCTTCTGTTTTGAAGTGCGTTGTAAAACTGCCCAGAGATTTGGAGACCCAAGTCCACTCTTAAGAATCTGAACAACTTTGCTGATTTCTTTGCTACAATCCAGTATCAATTTTTCACTTAAAGTAATCATCTTAGTTTTCCCACATGAAAAAGCACACTCTTCAGTTTTATTTTAAGCCATATTGACTCCAAAATGTACAAGCCACTGAAAGTGTCCCAGTGAGTCTTCTTCATTGGTCATTAAGCGTTTATCCCAGGTTTAACGATAGGGCAGAAATGCTAGTTCTATTTTTATCTTGTCATCGTAATAACCAATCAAATTAAAAAGAGATTGGGATTCCTCCAATCTACAAGCTCTCCCCTTTCACTAATGGAGACAGGCCTGAACAGCATTTAGCAACGACAACGTGTGAGCTGACAACATACCTTGTATTTAAACACTGCCAACATAGTTATAAACTGCAAGATGAAACCAGCACACAGCTGCACATTTTGGAGGAGTTCTCAGTAAAAGAGATCTTCAGAGTTATTACCTGGCAAAGGTGCATGGAAAATTAAAGCTAGAAAGTTGGCTCTGCAAGTTCTCAAACTTTTCATTACTGCCTGAGGAAGCATGAAAGTGGATATAACAAAATTTATATCTGCCCTCTACACGTAACTGGACATAGCATGGAAAAAAGAGATTCATTTAGTAGAAGCTATACAGGAGACAAATATTATGATTTACCTCCAAAGCCGAATTATTCTTTTATGTTTAGAGACTTGTGTTGGAGCAGAACTCTTGGGAAAGGAATTAATATGCATCTACTCAACAGATTGTTGTAATATAGATAAACATGACTCATGTGTGTGAATTTTATAGTCAAGGTTCATGCTGTACAAACACAAACCAGACTTTTATAGCCAGCCACTTTCAACTAAATAGACAAGTGAAAAGATGCTCAGGTTTACTTAATCTGGAAAATGACAATGATCAGGAGAAAGGAGATTGTGCTTCAGAAGTAAATTAAAGCTTCTCAAGAACATAGATAATGAGATTTGTACCCAATGATTCAACAGGGATTCAGTAATGTAACTTTCTCTATAATTGTACCCAATATGCTCAATTAAGCGGGGTGAGACGTTTAATACAAAACACTTCCATCATGTTACCAATAAAATCTGAACTCAGTCTTGATTTGAAGG